AAAAAAAAAAAAAAAAAAAGATAAATACATATGATTCTGTTGATTAAAGCAAGACCGACCTGGGTGTAGTGGCATACATCTATAATCCCATCAGCTAGGAGGCTGAAGCACAAGGGTCACCACAAATTCAAGGCCAGCCTAAACTACATAACGAGACCCTGTCAATCAATCAATCAATAGGAAAAAACTCCAAAAACCAATTTTGACCTTTCTTAAGTCACCAAATGGGACACTTCTAAATGGGAACTGTGCTCTGATCAAAATCTAGAGACAGAAGAAGTAGTCTATATACTAGCGAGGGTTGTCTTGGGTATCCTTATTTATTTTATGTGATTGGGTCAACTTTTCTGACTTCTGCTTTTAGAAATAATATACTCATATGAGATTACTCACAAATCTATCCAAGAGACCCTGTTTATACCAAAAGCCTAAGAATAACCTCAAGTATGCCATGGCTACAAGGTAACAGGTAAGTAACTTGCAGCGCTCATTGCCATGAGATACAGCCAGCATATGCCAAGCTCAGAGTCACACTGCATTGGATTTAATATCTACCTTTAGGAGAGTAGATAGGGTACTGCAAATGCTATCAAAATTTTATTCACAGTTTTAACATATTATTAACTTAGGCAATAGTAAACAAGGTATGTTTTAGCCAGGTGTGGTGGCACATGCCTGTAACCCCAGTGCTTGGGGAGGCTGAGGCAGGAGGATTGCAGGTTCAAGCCCAGCCCCAGCAACTTAATGACTTTAATAAGACTGTCTCAAATAAACAAACAACTTTTAAATTAGAATAATGATAAAGTAAAGCTATATAAATATGCATTTTCACTGGATCCACAACTAGAACTATAAGCACAATCGTGTTTTAATGTTTAACAACACAGAAGGTTTCCATCTTGTAACAATAACAAAAAATACTACATGCCTGGAAGAAATGTTTTTCAATCCTTAAAAAACGGGTACAGCCTCTATTAGATAGATATTTTACTTTTATAGGCTTTTTGCATTTTTCTCTGACACCAAGACAGTTATCAATGGTAATAAGAAGTGGACAATAAACCAAATGTGATTAAAGTTGGAGGAAGGACTCACTGGGCATCAATACTCAATGAAGAGTGTCTACAGCCTCATAAAACAAGGCACTGCATGCATCCTAGGACAGTTCTTCAATATGCTAAAAGTCACCTCACAACCGTACCTGTTCTTTTACATACATGTACTGTACCTGACAAGCTGGATCAAGACCCATTTTTCTTCTGAGGAATTTTTCTACATGCCCAATAGTTGCTTCTCCTGAAACTCGGACAAACTTCTTTTCCAATGGCTATAAAAATGAATAAGTAAAGCTACTTTTAGATTACATATATGTATATACATAATAAATATAATCCTTAAAACAAACTTTATAGCAAAGGTGATAAAATATGCCTTCCTTTCTTCTTTCCTGGAATGCAACTCAGAGCCTCCTGCATGTTAAGCATGCACTCTTGACACTGAACTACATACCCAGGCTTCAACACTTTTGGTTTGGTATTTTGAGAAGGGTCTCATTCTATAGCTCAAACTCACAGCACAATCCTTCTGCCCTAGCCTTGAGAGGGCTGGCTTACAGGTATGTCAACAGACTTTTTTTTTGTACTTGGAATCAAACTTAGGACATTGCACTTGCCAGCCAGGTGCTGTGCCACTGAGCTATCCCCGGCCCATCAACACTTTTGAAAGAAGTACTACTATCAAATTTGAGTTAATCCAGTGCAGTGCCCACCATACTTGAGAAGGTTTAATCAGGACCATTTTGGAAACGGATTAACTGTTTAAGACTGAGCCTCGAACGAGTTATACTCCAGAGTTTCTGTCACCTTACCAGAGAGACTGGGTGGGAGATGCCACAGAGACAGCTATGGAGAAGGTGTAGGCTGGACACAGACCTCCTAAAGAAGCTCAGGCTGGGAAGGACTCGGGGACCCACCCTCCGAAGCCAGGCAAGGCACATGTGGCTTTCAAAGAACTGTCTGGAAGTGTTGGCATTAAGTCCAGAAGACTGCTTGACACACACACCGGCCTCCATTAACACAGAACTCAGTGATCTCATTGCCTCCCATCTACTAACTTCAGGAGGATACAGCCTGACTCGGATAGTGCCACAGCTTGGGGTGGAAGGGACAGCGTGGCTCTGGAGCAGGGAGGCACCTCACAAGCGCACTGGATGCAAAGGTAGGCAGAAAACAATCATGCCTGGGGGTGCAGAGGGACACAGAAAGTGGGAGCTGCCCAAGTGACGGCTGCCATCACTGAAAGACCAGCTCAGTGGGAAGGGCAGGGAAGGACTCAGCACTCACACACGAACACGTGAGTGTAGAAACAAAACAGATCTTAACAGGGACTCCCTATCTCTTCCCCATCTCTACTGGACTCCAAGACTGTAGGCCCTGGAAAGAAACGACTCCTTCAAAAACAGAGAACCTTTTTGGATTCTTTTTTCATTGGTTCTTTGTGGTTGGAGTTTGTTTCTTTTTCTTTTTTTTTTATTTTTTGGCATCAGAAATCAAACTCATGACCTCAGGCTTGCCAAGCTAGCACTTATGCTGCTGAGCTATATCCCCGGCCCTTTTTCTTTCTTTTTTTTTCCTTGTTTCTTCTTTTCTGTTACTTTTATCTAATTCTATTAATCCTTTAAATTCTTTAGTAGGACCCTTTATCTCATTTTTCTCTTCTCACCATTCTTTATTTTTCAAATTTTACTCTTTTTTAATTCTCCTGTTCCTCATCCCCTCTAGCTTTCTTTTTAGAAACTACGTCTCACTATGCCATTCAGGCTGATCTTGAACTCAAATTTGATATGATCCTCCTGCCTTAGCCTCCTAAGTGCTAGGATTACAGGCATATACCACCATGCCTAGCCCCTCTAATTTAACCAGTATAACCATTAAGCTTTATTAATCTTTAGATATTCAGTAAATTCTATGCTATTACTGTTGAATTCCTTTCTATTGTTGGTGGCGATATGGCTGCTGCATGTAGTAGGTATTTACTGTATGTCAGTGTGTGGTTTGTCTTTTTTTTTTTTTTTTGGTACTGGGAATCAAACTCAGGTGGGCGCTTGTGCTGCCTATATCCCCGGCCCTGTCTTTTTTTTTTTTTTTTTTTTTGAGACAGATTTTCATTCTGCAGTTCAAGCTGGCCTCGAACTTAACAGTCTTCCTGCCTCAGCTTCCCTAGTGCTGGGATTACAGGTGCATGCCATCATGCCCAGCTGATCCGTCTTTGTCTTGATACTATAATTACAGATCTCTTTTCTATGGTTAAGTGTCGTATATTATTAGTTCTTATGGTATGTCAATATCCAGTATGTCTTTGATTCTATTATTGCTGCTGATTTTGTTGATATTATTAGGGTAGCAGAATTCTTGCTATTAATTGATTTCATCTATATGCCAATATCTGGATAGTCTTTGTGTCATTAATAAAACTGTGGTCAATTCCCAGAGAACTGGGTGCTGGGCCAATTACACTGCTCCCTCCTGCCAAATTAAAGGAGGTGGCTGGGACAGAGGAGAAGGCCTGTATTAGCCATGACCAGAGCACAACACTGAAAAGCAAACACTAACTAAAGAGATGATGCTATTCTATATACAAAAACCAATTTAATTCAAAAAGAAATTCATAGATTAAAAAAAATCAAAGGCTAGAAAACAATATTTGATGCATTAGGAACCCCAAAACAAGCAGAAGTAGCTAGCAATCCTATTATCAGACAAAGTGCACATGCCTATAATTCCAGCAAGTGCGAAGCTGAGGCACAAAAATCTCAAGTTTGAGGTCAGCCCTGAGCTCCACAGTGAGATCCTATCTCAAAAGCATAAAAACCAGAAAGAAACAAGACACAAAATACCCAAGACCAAATATCTAAGGCAACCTAGTTCAACAAAAACCTCCACAGGAAAAAAAGGTGGAAGAGGGATGGCTAAAATAAAAAACATGAGAGGTTATAAATGACAGCTAATTCAAACAATTATAATACGTAGATCTTATCTGGACCCAGATTTAAATAAAACCTACAAAACTATATTCAACTAAATTTGTTAAAATTAATTTAGCTGAAGATATCAATATTATAATTCTATGAAATTCAATCTAGGAAATTTTTGTTTTGTTTTTTGAGACAGGGTCTCTCTGTATAGTTTGGGCTGGCCTTGAACTCATGATGATCCCCCTGCCTCAGCTTCCCAAGTGCTGAGATCACTGTAGGAAATTTAATACATGGATATTTGATTATAAAATTATTATTATTATTGTGGATCTTTACTTATTTAGTGCTGGGAGTTGAGCTCAGTGACTTGCACAAATAAGTACCTACCCTATTGCTGAGTTATATACCCAGCTCCAAGAAATTATCATTGATTTTAAAAAGGGCAGCACTGGATCAGGGTTATAACTTAGTGGTAGAGTGCATGCTGAACATACCCAAGGACCTGGATTCACACACCAGCCCAGAGGGAAAAAAAGCAAAGCAGTATTATTACCACTATTATGTTGGTAAAAGTAGTCTTTAAATTTTAGAAGCAAACAGCAAACAGAGTTAATTACTGATAAATGATATGTGGTCTTGCATTTGCTTCAAAATCTTATGACAGGTAGCCAGGCACAGTGGCCATGTGCCTGCAACCCCAGCGCTGAGGGGCAGAGAAAGGAGAGTCACAAGTTTCAGCCCAGACTGGGCAACTTAGCAAGATCTTGTCTCAAAATAAAAATTTTTTAAAAAGCAGTAGTGGGCCGGGGATATAGCTCAGTGGCACAACACCTGCCTGGCAAACGTGAGGCCCTGAGTTCAATTCCCAGTACAAAAAAAAAAGGCCCTGGGTTCAATACCTAGTATTGCCAAAAAAGCCCCCCCCAAAAAAACAAAAAAAAAAACTTATGACAAGAGGAAAAGTGGTAAAGGTGTAAACACAATTGGTCACGAGTTTATAATTATTGCAGTATACATCAGGGTTCATTATACTATTCCACTTTTCTGTGAGCTTTTACATTTGCATAATTAGGGCAACCCATTTGGGACCCCTTCTGTCTCTCAGGAGCTATTCCTATTCTCTATTCCTATTCCTCATTCCTTTCCTCCAATAAATTTTCTTACATGTCAAAATTAATTAATTTCCATAATAAACTGTACACAGTAGCACACGTGTGGTCCCAGTTCCTTTAGAGTTTAAGGCAGGACCACCACTGGAGCTAGGAGTGGAGTTCAAGACCATCCTGTGCAATACAGCAAGATCCCATCTTAAAAAATAAAACAAAACCAAAATAAAGGCTTTTCTTTTCAAGATTAATATCTAGACATGTGCGGCTACAGCGTGGTACAAGAATTCGAGGTGTAGGAGGTGGCAGGTCAAGGGAACCTAAGTTTTGAAAGTAGAGATTAATGCTTACCCAGCCTCTCTCTCTTTGGGACAATTAAGGCTATTATCAGTTAATGTAAATGAAAACTGAGGAAATCAGGACTAAAAATGTAACTTTTAGGAGACTTCCTAAGTGTTTTTCTAGCACTAGCAGAGGAGGAACCTGAAGTGACTACCCAGAGGACCGAGGCAGGTTAGATGAACATTGGTTCCACGTCACAGTCTGATCTGAAGTTTGGTTCTCAAGTCCTTTCCTGACTAAAACTAACAGTAAATTAGGTAGGTACTTTAGAGAGACGACCCACTTTGTTACACAGACTGACAGGCAGCAGAGGCATGAGTGCCGAAACAGACGTCCTAGGTCCAACACCTTGTTTTGCCATTCTCTAGGTCCAAGCCTCTGTGCAAGGTCCTGAACCTTTCTTTACCCGTGTCCCCATTTATAAAGCAGGGGGGACAAAGCACATAACTTATAAATATTGAGGACAAGTTAATGTATGTAAATAATTACTAATATCTGGCACATTTTAAGCACTGAAGAGTTATTACTGCTGGGTTTTGAGCCAGTTATCTTTAAAATGTCTTGTATCATTTTGTTCTTTATGTGAATGATTTTAACTTGATAGGAAACCCAGTGCTGGGCGTGGTGGCACATGCCTGTAATCCCAGCACTCAGGAGGCCAAGGTAGGAGGATGAGTTTGAGGCCAGCCTGGACTGCAAAGTGAGCACGAGGCCAGCCTGAACTGCATAGCAAGACCATCTCAAAAAGACAAAAAAAAAGGAAACCCAGTTGTTACTGTGGAACATCGGTACCATCTGGACAAAAATGCCAAAGTTATTATTTGAGTGTGTGTACGTGTGCACCTGTGAAATACCGGGGATTGAATTCAGTACCTTCCCACTGACCTACATTACCCTTTATTTTGAGACAGGGTCTTCCTAAGTCGCTAAACTGCCCAGGCTGGGCTTCAACCCGTGAGCCTCGTTCCTCAGCCTCTCAGAGCGCAGGGATATAGATGCCACAAGGAGCCTGGCAGTTCTCATGTTCTTGGAATGCAGGTATAGGTATATTTTACAGAGTACAGGCAATCTCACTAAAGGGGAGATAAAGCAGTACCCCAGTAGAGTCCTCACGAAGCTGCCTCACCACGAACAGCATAGACTAATTACCATCGGAATCTCCTCTGATGCCCTAAGAAGCTATATCTGGGTAATTTAACTGGATGCCTTCCTGCCAACCAACACATTTCTGAAGGTCAGATTCTGGGCTTGCCATTTTAAGAACAGACTTCAGGTGTATCAGCAGAGGGCAATCCAGTCTCGTTTCTAAATTCCTGTAGGGCTCCTTACCCCAAGTATTTGACAAAATTAACTTAGCTAAAATTACAATACTGTAATTCTTAGAACTGTGAGATAAGCCAATATTTGAAAGATAAAAATCCATCTTGATATTCAAATTTGGGAACTCACACGAATAACTGGAGATCTCACACCTCATGCTCACAAGTTAAAAGGGGCTTTGTTTCTCTAATTCACATAAAGCTTTTTCAGAAGATAATTTGCTTCTCCCCCCACTATACCTAATAGCTTCCTAGTGTCTGCAAATTAACAGAGAGAAAATTCCAGATTCCGATGTATCTGAAATTAAGTACAGCAATTTTTCCTGCCATACAAACATGAAAGAGTAGTAACTGAAACAGATTACACGAGTTATGCTTAAATGCTTGAGTTTATAATAAAGTAAAAAAGTGAAAATAACAAAAATGGTCATGACTGGAGGATGCCAGTAAATCACCTCATTTTGACTCTAGGAAATGAGAAAGAATCAAGCATTTAGTCTGACTTTTCTTACATGAACTGTACCAGTGAGCAACCAGATAGACAAAAGGAAGTTTCTCCAACTTATAGGAGAAACCACTCTGAATATCTGACAACGAGAAATGGTTAGCCTTTTTCGTTCCCTAGCTTCAACCTTTTGAAAAAAACAAATTTACAACAAAATTGTAAGAATAGTTTACATAAGCACTCCAATGTCCTTCACTTGTTTAGCAATTTTTGATATATTATTACTAGATTTGCTTTACATCTTCCTATGTAACTGTGTGCATATGTGTGCTTTTTTTCTTGGACAATTTGAGAGTTATCTGCAGACACTGAAATATCTTACCCTAAACATGTTAGCAGCTATCTTCTGAGAATAAGGGGATTTGTTTCTCCTGTATAACTACCATACAATTATCAGGAAATCTGCACAAGTATTCAGGAAATTTAACATTAATATAATGCAATTGTCTAAACAAATCCAGATTTAAATTTGTTATAACATTCTATATAGTTAGTTAGTAAGTTAGTTAGTTTTTGATTGGCTGATTGGCTGGTTGGTTGGTTTACTGAGAACCTATACAGTTCAGACTCAATTCTCCGGCCTCAGCCTCCACAGCACAAGTACTGGGATTACAAGTGTGCATCATCATGCCCACCTAGACATCTTTTTAAAATTGTTTTGGGACAGCATCTTGCCATGCAGTTCAGGCTGTCCTTGACCTCTCAGTGGTCCTCCTGCCTAAGCTTCCTGAGAGCTGGGATTATATGCGTGCGCTACCATGCCCAGCCAGATACATTTTAATATTCTCAAAATGTTTACAGTAAATTATAAACAATGGTTCTATTCAAAATTTCTACTGGATTTGGTTTATTTAAAAAGAAGTTTGAGACTGGGAGGTAGTACACCCTATAATCCTAGTACTCAGGAGTCTGAGGCAGGAGGATCACAGTGCGTTCAAGGCCAGCAAGGGCTACATGGTGAACTCAAGGCAGCCTGAACTATACAGCAAGACCTTGTCTCATAAAAAGTGAAACAAAACAAAAAAACCTAGCTTTATTGAGATGTGGTTCATATGCTATTAAATTTACCCTTTAAGAAGTGTACAGGGGGAAAAAGTGTACACTTTGATGGATTTTAGTGTATTTATAAAGTTGCACAGTTGCATTCCCAATTTTGGAATGTTTTCATAACCCTAAAAAGAAATTCATCTAAGTTAACAGCCTGTTATGGTTGATACATTGTGTCAACTTGGGGAGTCTAGAGGTTTGGCTAAGTGACTCAGCAGGAAGCCAGGGTGCTTACTTTGTATACATCCTGAGCCTATGGAAGAGGAGGGCAAAGATTATGTGAGAGCTACACGCTCCTTAGGTGGGGGTAGCCTGTTTACCATGCAAGGCAAGAAAGAAGCTGCTTGCCGCCATTCCTCCCATTTGCTCTGGCTGCTTTGCTGTTCGGCTGCCATTCCCCGCTTTGCTCTTGTTGCTTTGCTGTCTTGTGCCTCGGAGCCAGCCAAGTATGGACTGAAACCTCCGCAAACTGTAAGCTAAATAAACCTTTCCTTCCTTCATTTTTGGCATTGGGTATTTTGTCTCAGCAATGAGAGAAAAGTAACCAAGACACAGCCACTCTCCATACACCTCTCCCATTAGATGCTGGCAATCACTTACTCTCTGTTCTGTGTCTATACAGTTCCCTGTGTTGGACACTCGATCTAAATGGAAGATGGTAATAGATGCATCTTTGTGTCTTGTGTCATACCCTCTTCCACTCAGCACGTTTTCAATGTTCATCTATGTTGTAGCATGTATCAGAACACTATTCCTTTTTACTACCAAATAATTTTCCTTTACATAGATATACCACATTTTGATTATGCATTCCTCAGTTATGGATGTTTAGGTTGTTTCCAATTTAGGACTGTTACCTCAAAAGAAAAATTTTTACAGGTTACTTTTCAAATCAAACCCAAATAAGGTTCATATATTACAACTGACTCATATGTCCCTTGAGCTATTTTAATCAGCAGGTTCTATATACAGATTCCTTTTTTGTCTCTTTCTGTTGAAAAGAGGATCCTAAACTAGGGGTGGAGGCACACACCTGTACTACCAGAATTTGAGAGGCTGAGGTACACAAGTTTACCAGCTGAACTGAGGTGACTGCCTTAAGTTTGAAGCCAGCCTGAGCTACATAGTGAGTTCAAGACCAACCTAAACTACATAGTGAGACTTTGTCTCAAAAAAACAACAACAATCATAATAGGAATCCTTTGCTATATAGTTTTCCACCATCTAGATTTGGCCCATTATATTCCTTCAGTGTCATTTAATGTGTTCGTTTGTTCCTGTATTTCCTGGAAGATAGCCATTAAATTTAAAAGCATGATCCCTTCATGTTTGTTTTGGCAAGAATACCTTATAGGTGGGATTTTTATCATGTTTTTTGATATGCAAGGATCAGAACTATATAAATATCCTAGGTACACATTTCCTTTTATGGAAGAAACAGTAACATTTCAATTTATTTTCTAGTTCTTTCTTCATGAGGTTTTCAAACTGCTCACCTATCTGGCTACTACAAATCTTTGGATAGATAAGGAACACTGAGATAGTATAACCCATACAGAAAATTTCTGCCACTTTCATACCCTATCATGAAACATATTATTGATATGAAAGTTTCCTAAACAAATTCTATGAAACAATTCCTAAAATGAATTACCATTAATTTGATATTTTACAACTTTAAAGAGGTTTGAAGTTACCAAAAATCATTGGGACTTAATGCTGTATTCCCTCCGTCACACGGACTCCTACAAGATATCTGTAATACACTTCACATCCAGAGAAGTACTCACCTTTTCCTATACTTTAATTCATGCCTCTAAGCTAGTACATTCACAAAAAACAGACACCCAAAAGGTGTAACTCACCTGAATTTTAGCATAGACTTCTACGAAGTCACTGAAAATCTAAACCAGATCAAAGTTACCTATAAGGCATAGTCAACCCTTTTAAAAAAGTTTCCATTTTTTTTTTTTTTAAGTTTCCTTTTTTTGAGACAGGGTCTTGCTGCACTAGGCTGGCCCTGAACTAGCAGCTCAGCCTCCCAAGCGCTGGGATTACAGGTTGGTTAGTTGGTTGGTTTACTGAGAACCCAGCAGGAGTTTCCTTTTCCTGAATGACTCATACTATAGCAGCAACATTATACAACAGCATCTGGAATTCTGAAGCCCTTCCAACAACTTTGAGCTTAAATATGTTAAAACTATGTGCTTACCTCTAAAATCTATAAATGATTGGCAAGCTGGGGCATGTTAACTTGAGCCAAAAATGTTACATGTAAATAAAATTTTAAGCTCACATTTAATTTGAAATGACTATGCAAAAAAAAAGCTTTGAAATTTTTTAATCACCAAATTAACAAAACATTCGTTTTTTAGAGTTTTGAAAATTATTCACTTATTTTTCCTTAAGCCATTGTTCTGAATTAATAATAAATCCCTATTTAATAATAATTCTTCTCATAAAATATTGTAACAGATCATTGTTGAAGGTACTTCTTTTTTTTTTTTTTTTTTTTGTCTTTTTGAGACAGGGTCTCGCTGTGCAGTTCAGGCTGGCCTTGAGCTCACTTTGTAGCCCAGGCTGGCCTTGAACTCACAATAGCCTCCCGAGTGCTGGAAGGCCACCACGCCTGGCTGAGGGTACTTCATATTTAAATAATTTGTGGAATATTTTTTACAGTAATTGAAGACAACCTCCATTTTATTATAAATCAGACTCAAATTTGTATTATGCTATAGGGTCCTCTAATGAAATGAATTTAAAAAAAAAAGTAAAATACCTTAAAATGTCCTGTACCTTCATTAGCACTGAAAAATGAGAGCAAAGTTAATCAACATTTAACACCTTCTATGTTTAATCATAATACAATAACAAATAAATATAAATACTTGAGAAATATCTATTTGTATTTTAAAATATGGTCACCTAAATCTTAATAAAATAATGTAACTGTCATTTCTGCCACCTAGTGGTAAAAGAAGGCAGTTTTATCCAGTATGTTACATTAGTCCATACTCACTTCAGAAGTTAAAAGTATATTACTCTTTTTCCTTATGGAAAAGCACATCAGAAACTTTATTTTACTTCCTGAGTTCTGGGACCACAGGCATGCACCACGACATGACTTCTTTTTTTCTCTTCTTGAGATGCAGTCTCGTATACTGTCCAGTGAGACTCAAACTCTTGATCCTCCTGCCCAGCCTCCCCATTATCGAGGCATATGGGTGTGTACTAACACACCTAGCTAAGACCTCCTAGAAGTCTGCTATCGTTTCTGTTGTTTTACTTGCTGCATATCAACCTGGGCATGATTTTACTCACATTTGTCTTTCACCTAGAAGCACAAAGAGATTCTTGAATAAATCAATCAATCTCATATCATGGGGGAGATAAGGGGCAATAACAGTGGTTGAACATCCATTACATTCTATCAGGTCTTCATATGTGCAAGACAATCAGAGCTGGTAAGTCATCAAGCTTTATCAAGCTTGAATTTAACCTGAGCTGCGCCTAGCATTAAAGCTCATGTATTCTGCTGCTGCTGCTTTTAGCCGCTTTTTTAAAGATCCCGCCTCACTATGATGCCCAGGCATCCCCAATTTGCAATCTTCCACCTCAGCTTCCCTAGTATTTGGGATTAGAGATGTGCACCACCAGGCACAGCTCTATGTTATTTCTTCCCCATTGCGTGATGAGTAAGAGGCAAGATTACAATTACATCAGGTTCAGTTTATTTGTTTTTGAAGAGCAGATCCAACCCTGGGTCTTGCTCATGCTAAGCAAGAGCTTTCTGACTGAGCTACATCTCCAGCTCTTTTTAGTTTTATTGTGAGAAAGTCTTCGTAGTAGTTGGGATTACAGGCATGTACCACCATACACACTTGCCCAGAATTAATTAATTAATTTGCTACTAGGAATTAAACCCCAAGACCTTTACTGAGCTTTCTTTTAAACCTCTTGTTTTTTTTTATTTTGAGATACAGTTTAAGTTGCTACATTGCCCAGGCTGGGCTAGAACTTGCAAGCCTCCTACCTCAGTTTCTTAAGAGTGCTGGGATTACAGGCTCATGCCAACATGCCTGGCTCTGAATATTCTTTGTAATAAAAATACAATATATAAATGGGCTGGGGGTACTAGCTCAGTGGCAAAACACTTGTCTAGCCTGTGTGAGGCTCTGGGTGTAACTCCCACCACTATCTCCACCCATACACACTCTATATAATATATATATA